ATAAATATATAAACTATGTTACATGCGTTATATGCGTCTCTAATTATTTTTCCCTAGCAAATTTCAATTGAACCTAAAGCCGCCACGTCAGTTTAATTGATATGCTAATTGATTGACAACTAAGCAATGTTACTTTTTAATTAATACAAACTTGAGGTTACATCTTTTCAAATGTTTCTCAATTAATATATAGGGGATTGGAGTTTACACGATGACCCTATAAACAACCCTAGTGGGCAATTCCTTCAGACTCGTGAACACTTCATCATCCACAAACTCGAATTAATAAATTTTAGTTTGAAAGTAGTGATTCTAACCCGCTAAAATAATATACTGACCAAGGTCATACAATCTATGAACTAACCTATGCCTGATACTAGTTATGTTACAGGGACAAGGAGATCCGATTCTAGATCTTTAGGACCCACCCGACTTGATCCCTCTTTTGGTTGTTGGGCTTTACTAACGACATCTCCCACCCATCATTCCCTAAAGCAAAAATATTAAAATAAATTATCTCAAAGTTGAAAATCATTCAGGCACACCCTCACAAAGGCGACAAGAAAGAAACTTCTCTAATAACCAAATTTCAATTTTCATTAGAGAAAAATAAGAATACATTATGAAGCCAGGAACACAAATACCACATTTAGAAGAGAGAAAAATCAGTGAAGCTAAATTCTTGAGCTTTAGATACAACATGATATCCATCCCCAACTGGTGGTAGATGGAAAAATGAAAAAAAAAAAAAAAAAAACTAATTCAACACATCATGGAGCCAAAACAAGAGTGTGAAAAATGCATTTGGATACAAAACCCAAACAAAAAAAAAAACAGCAAGCATCCCTAAAGAAAATAAGTGAAATAGCAAACTCTCACATAGTATTAAATAAAACCAGGGGAGTTTTTTTTTTTTTTTTTTGTGGTCTTTCTTTCCCATCACTCTAAATCTAAACCCTAAATGGATCAGACTGTCTCCCACAATGGTGCATAACCAAAAGCCCTAATGTACAAAAGACCACTCTCACTTGACACCCTAAGTGAGATTAACCCTGAAAATGACCTATGTGATGGTATATTAGAGGACTAATAGTACTACTTGGGTAAGAATAAAGATCAGCAGCCAAGAACTGTGTCGGTTAGTGGAGAAGAACTTTCTGATACTTAGTTTTTGAATACGTCCCATCTGAGAATACTCTCTTTCTGTTGAATTTTCCACACCCATTGTTGACATTTGGGCACTGGATGGTGACTGGAGGGATCTCAAAAGTCTTGAGAAGCGGTGGTGGGTGTTGCCATTGAGGTAATGGACCGGCTAAGAGCAGTGTCTGAAGCAATGGCCCTGCCTTCATAACAGCTTGTAAGAGCTTACCCTTTTCAGGCAATGGCTTGTCTATAAACAATGGATCCATAATCTCATTTCCTGAGGCTTCTTCAATATGAGGTGAGTGTGGTGGGTTCATGACATGATCAGTGGGTGACATAAAGCTTTCTTCGAAATCCGAGGATGAGAAACTCTTGTTGGATGTTAGTTGTTGAGTCTGCAGTGTTTCATCATCGATGCTTGAAGCTCCTGATAAAGGAGGAGTCATATGCTTTTGCTGCTGGGGTTGTTGAAGCGAGTGGTTATCCAACATGAGACGCTGGCATTTCTGGAGAGCTTCGTCTCTTTCTTTAATGGTTTTGGTTAACATGTCTTTGAGCTGGATCAATTGTTCATCTCTTTTCCTTATTTCCTCATGAGCAAACATCTTTGTTTGTTCGAGATCTAGTGTTGTGCACAGAAGAGAGTGTCTTAATTCTTCTGTAGTCTGTAATTAAGTTTCACAGAAGTAAGAAATAAATTAGAGACACAAAAGAAAGAAAAAACAGAGGAAAAAAGTATGTTAAAATAAGCTAAGATGGGACAGAACAGAGGATCCCTAAGTTTGGTGTCAACTAGTTGACAACTATTATATTAAGATATCAAGAATTGAGTCACCTGGTTGCAGATTAAGACCACCATTATGTAAAATCAAGTTGAGTCCTAGCAACTAGGTCTAAATTCAGGTGTTTATTAGAACAACCAAGAAGAGTTAAAAAGCCTTCAATATAGTTCTTGTTTTGGACAGACATTATGCAACCATTTAAGCAAAAAACATAATTGAAAGAAGGATAAAGCAAAAGCAAAAGAGGAGCATTGCTTTGGCGAAGGGAAGAGAAGAAACTCAACTTTAGAAAGAGAGAAAATCAAATTTACCTTTCCATGAGAATAGTAAGGCCAGCCAAGAAGAGCATTGCTTTGGTTATCCATAAATTTCTACTAAACTGAGCTTTTGATTCTCTAAAAAATTATGTTAGAGAGGGAGAGAAAGAGAATGGAGTCTAACTTAGGGAGGGAAGGAGATATAAATAAGTAAAAACTTGTTGGACTGTTTAAAGCAGATCAAGCTTTTTCAGGTATGTAGCTTTCTTTCAAGATTTCAATAATTAGTTAAATAACTAAAAAGATAAAGATAAAAGGATAGCACATGATTGTATCATTTCTTGTAACATTATCTCAACTAACTCCACTTTATATTTTACCGCGCAAACTATAAGAAAATTATTTAGTAGTATAGTGTATAGCTATGAAAAATAAAATCGCATAAATCAAATTCAAAGTAGTATTTGACTCAAATTCGTAGAAAAGTTGATGGTTAACTTAGATTTAAAATAAAAAAGTTAAACAATCATTTAAATTTTTGGTGAATACTTTTCTTAATAGGTGGACAGTATAAATTAAAGGAACAAGTCATTCTATATCCTAATACTGAAAACGTTTTAAATATATAACTATAGTTCATGTCTTTCTGCAAATCATTTTATACTTGTTTACATGAAACAAGATTATTATTTCAGTGGGTGTTGTAGCTGTTCTAACTGTTGTTGGGAAGAGGTCTTTCCCAGGTGTTAATCTTTTAAATATTAGATATGTTTTTAGCAACACTTAGTTCAATATATGTTAGGAAAATAATAGACTATTATGTGGTGTGTTACATAATCAGCAAGCATGTTTTGTTTTTTAGAAATGTAGGAAAATAAGGTAAATGTATACGAAGAAGATAGTAATTTGATATTTGTGAGAACTCCAAAAAACTCCACCGGAAAAGATTTGAGTTAATAGCTAGGATGAGAAATTGAGAGTCGCAAAATATTATACATGTATAGTTTTCCTTTTTCCTTGTTTTGTTGGACGTAGTATTTATACATTTTTTATTATTACTTCTTCTGCCGTAACTATTTGGTGGAAGACCAGTATCGTAGTTTACTGACATTGGTCTCACTTACTCACTCACAATATAGTCTAAACTCTTTAAAGGTCTTTTGTTTTCTTCTTCGTTTTTTCTTGGGATACAATACGGTTTCTTGTCTTCATCCAAGAAAAATCAAGTGCACCGAAAAGAGCGGGAACTAACTTCTTCTAATAACATATTTTTCAATTTTGTACAAGGAAAGTATATGTAGAGGAAAGCATATGTGTATAAACAACTAAAGATGCATGGAGTCAATGAGAAGTGGATTCCATGGTCAGCAAAAGAGGCAAGTGAGCAAACTTTTTCCACCAATACATTGAGAAAAGTTTGATTGAATCCCTTTTTCAATTATTAAACCTATCACTACTCGTGGAAAATAAGGACTCACATCTTCGTTTCCAAATTTCACGTGAATATTACAGAACTGAACAGCTCAGTTTTGAAAAAGAAAAAGAAAATCAGCTCAATTATTGTTATTTTGGATATTGACATCGCTATATTATAGCCATCGTTATTAGTTTTAATATAATAGTCTTAGGAAGATCTAACAATCTGTGGTCGGATTATTCATCTTTGTCGTGCAGATCTTATCGAGTTTTCTAGAAACCCTAAGCACAATAAAGTCTAACCAAAAGGTTATCAAGCAAAGGTAATCAGTTATTTTTAATCAGTTTTTTTACATACTGAAAAGGTTATGCATTTTCAATTTCTACAATGTTCATCATTTTTTTTTGTCTTGACAACTGCCAGCGGGCTTATGTTACCTTCAAATGTATTCCTTCATCAAATCTTAATACTCCCAGACGAAAAAAGACTAAGAATGAGTGAAAACTCAATTTTAAGTATATAATGAATGTTCTTAGATACTTCGCTGAAAATGATTAATTGACTTTTACTGCAAGTTAAAGTAAAGTAAGGAAATTAATATCTCCATATTTGGGTCCCTTCGCATGTTAAGTGATGATCATGAATATCCTCGATGGTCATAGTAGTATTATAATATACATGTAGTGCACGATATGTTCCTACTAATTGTGATAGTTAGTGGTATGCATTAAAAAAAGCTAAAGAATTATCTCGTTCAACAATATACATGCAGATGAATATAAATCTAAAGAAAAGAGAAGTACTTCCAATACTAAAAGTAGGGGGACAAGAGTTATCATTTCTTGGTCTCTTTCACCAACATTAATCTAAGAGCATGTGAAACAAATTTGATCTTCTTTCTTTTGTTCATTGTGATAGAATTTTAAGAACTTATTTATATATTTTGGCTACCTAGGTTTCCTGTGTGAGCTGGTGCAATTTTAGATATCTTTGTGTATTCGTTATATACACGCGCGATATTTTATATATATTTAAAACACTAAAAAATGCAGTTAAAAAATACGAGTCGATATGTGTCTGATTAATCTATAAATTAGTTTTCAACTAAGTTTCGCAACCAGAAGGCATAAACTCCAGAGCAAACATTTTAAGCAAAAAAAAAAACTCCAGAGCAAACATTCTTAAGCAGGCGGAACCAATGTGACGATTATCACCGGCGATTATTGGCATTACTCTACTCACTAGCATAAAGTCCTTTGTAGTAGTATATATCTTATATAATAAACTTGACTTTTCTCCCTTCTCATGCTGCCACATAGGCAAGGAGATAGGGGCATTTTATTCCACGTCAGCACCAACAAAACTCAGCCGAAATTGTCTTTGCTTTTGGTAGGCTGGGCAGTAAATATTCAAGCGGATGGGCCTCTAGAAACATATTGGAAAAGCATAAGGCCACTTTGATTTACAACGAGAGTGAGAAGAGGCCCACTTTAATGGTTTGTATTATACTTCCAAATAAAAACTAATTACGTCTCCGTAGCCGACGTGTCGATCCCTATCCTCTGAAACAAACCCACACATCCGCCCTCCTGAATCTCTGGCATAACGTAATTATCTACCTCCCTGAATCATCAAAGCTCTTCATTACTAAAACTTCCGTATGATTTCTCCTCCGGTCTCTCTTTTATAGAAAAAATCACTAAGCAACACCAAATGATGGATCTTTGACATTCATAACTACTAGGAGAAACTCTCAGAGGTAAGAAAACTGCAACTCTTCTGCTTTACCGACTCTGCTTTCAAAATATAGGGATTTCAAGCGTTATTCTCGGCTATTTCTGGTTTAACAAACTCTATTCTCTTTGATTGTTTCATTAAAGGTAAGTGATGGAGATGATAAGATTGGTTAAGAATGCTGATCGCAGCCTGTTGATTCAGATTGCAGGAAAGATACTTCTTTCTCTCTACAAATTAAGACTGGGCTGGCGATTTTCTTGTGCTTACTGATAAGATAAAAGTTCACTCATTTATGAGACTAAACATGTGGGTCGGTTTCGTATAATGAAAAATTTTCAGAACAAACTCAGGCTGAGCTGGATGACTTCAATGCTTGGTTCTATCTCCACTCTAAATCAAATGTATGTGAAAGTTTATAATTTTGTCTTTTCTTATCTTATTGATGTACGTGATAGTAAAGAGTGTCTTTTTTCCTCTGCTGTGAGTAGAAAAATTGCAACTCCAGAGATGCAAATGAACATAAATCGAGCTAAAATCAGAAAACAAAAACTTGGTTTTGGGAAGTTTGCTCTTTGAAAAGAGATGTGAGGTATGCTATACTCTCGATTTTGTGAAGCTTGCTCCAGGGCTTAGCTTTTTATACGTTTTGTGTTCTGCAAGTATTATATAGTTTCCGGGTTCTCGGATGTTTTGTGGTTGTAGTTTATGTCATGGAGAGAAAAGATATACTCATCTGGTTACTGATATTAGGCTGACTAATAGATTCACGGTTGAAGATATAATCAGATTTTTCAGGATGCCATCATGTGTATGAGGTATCTATCCATAGCCATAGGTATATGTCGGCTTGAACTGTAGTTTTTTGGAGTCAAAGGTTCATGACCCTCCAGTTTAGGAGGTTCCAGAGTGTCCCCCAGTGACAAGGATGTATTTGATATAAGAAACTTTATCAGGCAATTTCATTGCGTTTTTTTAATTTTGTTTTTCATTAAAAAAACATATTATTATGATGTGTAACTGATGATTTTTGGTAGGGCTGGGCAAAAAAACCGAACCCGAAAATCCGAACCGAATCCGGTCCGATAAAAAGGAACCCGAACCGATTCGAACCCGACATAAGTACCGAATGGATCTTATTTTACGGTATTTCGGGTTATGGATATTACCCGAACCGAACCCGAACTTAAATGGATATCCGAAAGAACCCGAAACTTTAAAACTCCTAAAAAACTTGTATCATATCCAATGTAAATTTCTAATATGTTTTCCAAAACAGATTAATATATTATTGAGTACCTACAATAATTAGTTATGATATAAATAATTAACTCAAATATTTAGTCTAATGTATAGTGTTATTTGGTGATTATTAATGTTTATGATTGACATTACATTTGAAATTAAATTACGAATAAATTTTTTTTGAAGTTTATATAAGGTTGTTTTTTTTAAAGTGTAAATAGTACTTCTTACGTTTATAGAATTGTTAGTTGTTAATTTTAATTTTTTATGTTTCATTATGTATAATATTTCGTTCATACAAGGTTTTGGTTTGTCATTAATAATGACAATATTATTTTGAAGGAGAACAATATGGTTTGTAGATGCTAAACCATATTGTTCAATGACAAATCTTATTTGGTTGATAGACGAGTTTCACAATATTATTTTGAAGGAGAACAATATGGTTTGTAGAAGCTAAATACACAAATTTAATAAAATGATTGAAATATAGTGAGTTTAATTGAGTATAAATTAGTATTTTTAGAACCGATAACCCGATTAGTATCCGGAACCGAAATTATTTCGGGTTCAACCGGATCTTGGACATGTTACTAAACCCGAACCGAACCCGAGTAAACCCGAACCGAATCCGACCCGATTTTTTATAATATCCGAATGGGGCTGAAATTCATGAACCCGAAAAGCCGAAACCCGAATGAACCCGAACCGA